ATAAAGTGACTAGGACAAAAAAAGAGAAACTCTTGAGCTGGCTTATCCCCGTTGGCTTCTTGTTCTTGTTCTTCTTCGACGGAAATATTAGTTGAAAAAATTTGACGCAGCGGGGGTTGTTGCGTGATAACAGTCCGGTGATTTTGCACCACATGACGTAAAGAGCCAATAGAATCGCGCGAAAATTAATGGGTGGGTAACACGTAGTATTTTGGACCCGAATTTGTTCTGGAAAAAGTGTTGCACATCTATGGGATTGATGGAAGACGACGAGAAACTATCAAAACATTGAGGAAAACCACGATATGTACCGGTTTTGTTTCAGTTTAGAATATCTTTCATTTCAATATCGTGACAATATGTTACAACTTTCATACGGGAAGGGAGAAAACCGTTTCAACCTTCTCCAAAGGTATACATTCAACCTAGTTCTCAGAATAATGAAATTTTACAAACCAAAGCAGGCCATTTTTAATACCCGTTTTCATGTCTGAGTTCTTAAAGTTGACCTTGGTTTGCAAATCCCTCACACTTTGTAACAAAGACAGTGGAACGCACTGAGTCAAATTGGGATCAGAGCTGAAGTCACATCTTATTAAAATTTCCTAGAATATTTAGCTGAAAAAAATGCCTTCTGGTTTACTTTAAGCTTAATTTGGTACATTTCTGGTTTCATTTGTGGTTGCCAATCACTGGCCTAAAGCTTTTCTCGAGTTCTGTCAACTTCCCGTGTTGCTTCACCGCGTTGTAACACCCTGGAAAATGTGTTCAATACCTTAATTGCAATTGAAAAGCCAAATTTCACACACTCTTTCCCGTATTCTTTAAAAAAACTTTACCAATTTACGACTATCATGCTCTTAATGTACGCCTGTTTTCGGTCATATTCCTATGTACCCAATGTAGAGTAGTACCAACCTTAGGAGGGCGTACTTACCCTAGAGATAAAGTACCCAGCATGGTCCTGTAGAGGGCTTCTTAACAAGGTGATCTAGTCACACTGTATGGTGATCATAGATTTTTTTTAACAGATCGTCACGAGAAGCTTAATTTGGCAGATTTGAAGACATCAGCAATGGTCAAGCCGTTAATTATCAGTGTTGGTCTGGTGATGTTACAACAATTATCTGGATTCAATTCAGTGCTCTTTAATGCTGCAGCTATTTTCAAAATAGCGGGATTCTCAGACGAAAAGCTCGTCTCCTTTATTATTGTCTTCGCCCAGCTTATTGGTAAAACTGCAGCATGTTTTCTCGTCGACAGGGTTGGCCGTCGAGTTCTCCTCCTGACTGCATCTTTTGGAATGACCATGTCACTTTTGGCACTGGGGATGTACTTTCAGGTCTACATTCCTCCAAATGATCATACCATGGGTAATGATACAGCTTCCCAAATACAAGGTTTTATCAGCCACTCTGTACCTGCCGATAAGATCTCCTGGCTCTCAATCCTTAGTGTTGTTGTACTCGGACTGACATTCTCCTTCGCGTGGGGACCGATGCCGTGGCTCGTCATCTCTGAAATATTTCCCCTTCGGGTCCGTGGCCTCGCATGCAGTTTTGCTTCCATAGTATTTTGGGCAACACTGTTTACAGTCACAAAGACATATCG